AATAAAATCTAAAAAAATAAAATCTAAAATCTAAATCTAATTTTATTAGTAATGTATTAACCATTTTTTCCATTCCCATCCCCCCCTTTTTTTTACAAACATGCCAACTATAACTGAGTATCATAATTCCTCTGCTAGGGAATTATAGTGCATGAGGGCTATTATACACAGTACATTACTGAAATTCATATTTAATTCATTAACAACTTTCTATTTAATATTTATGAAGCTGTCGTGCATCTATGCATAAACCAGTATACTCACAAGAACCCAAAGTCCTTGCTATGGCACTTAATATTCCTGAACTGCATGGAACATGGGATTTTCTTGTACAGATAAAGCTTCCACATCCTCTTCCTTCAGAGGAATATCAACTACAGTATATAGATTGCAGGCAATTGACTTTCCCATTTACTCAGCACAAGGGACTATTTCTCTGTGATATCTTTTTCTGTGCCCCACATCTCATCACAAATTCCTAATTGATTAGAATTAGTTGAACCCCATATTCAATCACCATCATTGTCATCCTACTCAAGAGTCAAATATATACTTATATATATAATATATATATATTCTAAGTTTGCAAAGGTGCTTACAGGATGTAAGCACCTTTGCAACTAATTTGCAACTTTGTTGTATGAGATGTTGCTTCCTCAGTGTTTCTCAGCCTGGTCAACTTTTAAGTTGAGTCTCCCTTAAAATCATTGAAGAAACAGCCAGAACTATATTGCTTGGAGCAGGGTTATGGGATGCTTAAATCCACTGCAATCAATTTGGTTAGATGTACACAACTTAATGTGCAAGCTTTGAGTGGAAGAACCCACAAAGGCTATTAACTTTATGATTCAACAGTCCAAAAAGACTCCGAGACTTGGCACCAAATCAAAACCAATATATTTCCTTAAAGAAAAGCCTGGAAGCTTAAAAATGCAGATTTCAATATCACCGGTAGAAATAAAGAAATTCAATAAGCTGGTGTGTCCTCTATGTGAGTTGCCCTACAGCAAATGCAGTGGTAGCAAGGACAAACCTTTTATCCATAATACTTCCACCAGAAAAGGTCTCAAAACATATACCTGGCCAGTGTTGATAATTTCCTTCATCTTCCTTCCACTACGGGAAAGAAAGCTCTGATGATAATTCCCAAAAACTTTGGAGAACTCCAGGGGAAAGTTTATTATAACTGGAAAAGTGACTCAGATGAACAGAGGCACAACTAAGGAATAATCTCATAGTGCTTATTTGGCATGACTAATTAATGGTTGGCTGAGCACAATACCTGTCTCACATCCTGGACTGTAATTGCCGTCGAAAGCTGCAAACCCAGCAGTGGGGGCCATAATGAATTCTCCATTCAGCGGAAGGTACTAAGCAGCAAAACAGAATAAATAAAAGGCATAAATTTTGCAATTTCTCTCTGGGCTGAACTGCTGAAGACCAGCTATGCCCATAATGTACCATTAACTACAATCTTCCCCAGTTTGTATTATTTAGAAGCACTATCCAAACATCATCAGCAATGGCAATATTGATTCATTTATTATTTATATAATATTTCCATTTGAAATTAAAGGCAGCCAGTCTTAATTATTTTAACAACCTCTATTTTGATGTAAGGAAAGGTGACTTTTTTCCCTCTTAGGCTGCACAATTCAGAGTGACCCGGGGGAATGTGGATAAGTGAAATATAATATAACATTCAGAGAATTCTTAACCTGAAAGTTGCAGTGTTCCCCTTGAAACTTTCTATCATTGCCCATAATTCATTTTAATAAGAAAAGAAATGCTGTAAAATCCAAAGGTTTACTCAGACACAGGATGCCATTCATCAGGGTCAGAGAGAAGCAAATTAACTATAATTACAAGGGCCTTTTTATTTCAAATGGAAATATGATTTTTTAAAACAGTACATTATGTAGTACGAGCCAAAACCAAGTTTCAAAACTGTGTGTGTGTGTGAGAACAGATTTTTTTTTTTTGCATTTGATGATCTATATAACGTCAACCCAGAGATTACAGGTGGCCCTCAAATATTTATGATGCTACACCCCTACTTCCAAATGCTCAGCAGTTAAAGACGCTGAGCTTGTTAGCTGGAAAGCCCAGGTTCGAAACCCAAGCACCATGCAATGGGGTGAGCTCTCGTTCCTGCTCCAAGTTCCTGTCCACTTAACAGTTTGAAAGCACGCACATGTGAGTAGATTAATAGGTACCACTTTGGTGGGAAGGTAACAGCGTTCTGTGCACCTTTGGCATATAGCCATACTGGCCACATGACCAAAGAAAATGTCTTCAAACAATGCTGACTTCCTTGGCCAAGAAACAGAGATGAGCACCATGTCCTAGAGTTGGACACACCGGACAGGGAAACCTTTACCTTTAATGGTAGGGATGGTCCCACCATCACCTGGCTTACAATGTTCTAAAAGGTTGCATGACTGACTTATCAAGCCAAACACCAAGAGCTGATTTTTCTCTGAACTTTTCTCCTTTTAACCAATCTTCTCTTCTTTTCCAAGCCAACAGATGGAATGCAACCAATACTCAATCTCAATATAAATGAAGGAAATGTAGAACAAGCCACTGAAGGATGGCAGCACAGCCTGGAGAACTAAAGATCAGTTGGATCTGGGTTCCTAATAATCAAAGGACTGTGACATAATTACATTTATGGAGTTTTTTTCATAATCTGCCCTTCCTTTCCTAAGCATTTCCAAATTTATTCCTATTCAAAACTCTGTTTATTTAGTGTCTCTAGAAAGTTAGATTCTCAGGGAGAAGGTCATTTACTGCATAGCCATTTACCTACTTCATCAATCATAAAAAAATGCATAATGCATCACACGCAATTGCAAGAAATATAAGCACCAGTGTTAACAAACAGCTGTAAGTACTGTAATACCAATATATCTTTCCAAACAGCAACTAAAGAAGATGATCTTCCATAGTTAAAAAGGAAGATGATCCTCCTTAAATCAAAATGGGGAGCAGCCATCTTAACCCCAAAGGGAATAGAATATCACAGGACTGAGGCAATCACAGGAAAGGTCTCCCAAGCCATTCAGACACAGCAAATCAAAAGCACATCCCTCTAGGTCAGGGGTGTCAAACTCAAGTCCTGTGGGCTGTATCCGGCCCATGGGGGACTTATATCTGGCATGTGAGACCACCCTGGAAACAGAGAGGGTAGCATCACATGACCTGCAGTGCCTCTGTCAGTGAAAGTGGAGCTCAGGAGGGCCGTGCATGGCCCTCACAAGCTCTATTTTCATTGGCAGAGGGTTGCAGGAGGCTTTTGCAGCCAGAAATGGTGTTCAGGAGCCCATTTTTTCTGGCAGAGCGCTCGGGCCACCACAGGCACCCGTGACACAAGTGTTGTCAAGCTGGCCATGCCCACATCCATCTACCCCCTGAGGTCAAACTCAACCCTGATGTGGCCCTCAATGAAATCAAGTTTGACACACCTGCTCTAGGTATAGCACAGAGGACAGGAAGACTATGTGGCCTTTCTCAAGCTAGCTGTTGAATGACCCCTTTTTAAGGGTGGGGAATGGAATAGTCCCTGTTCATAAACACCAGTGCTGCGCAGACATCATGCCAAATCATAGCTAGGCACTTACACAAAGAGACTTGTTGCACAGAAATTCCCGCTCGTTATGGCACAGAGCAAATTAATGCTTGCTTGATGCCTCTGAACCAAGAAGTGATAGATTAGTCTGGTAACCACATCCACATGCTTTGCATAAGGATGCACCTACCTATGCATTTGAAAGAAAAAGAGACCCAGGCATCAGAGAGATATTGCTAGATGGGCAAACAGCCTGCCCTATCATGAACAAAGCTACTAAGCAGAATATGAGAGAGAAGAAAAGATATAAATACCAGGTTTATTTAAGCAGTTAGAAATTGTAATTTGATATTTTATATGAGAGCAGCCATTATTTGTACATGCAAAAACCAGAGGTGGTATTCAGCCAGTTCTGACAGGTTCTGGAGAACTGGTAGCAGAAATTTTGAGTAGTTCAGAGAACCGGCAAATAGGCTGGCCCCATCCCCGCTGCCCCTCAGCCTCCCAGCTGATCTTCTTCTGTTGCCTATGACACCTAGACAGAAGTGTGAGCATCTGTCTCTCTCCTGTCTATTCAGTGCCTTGAAATGACAACTTTTCATTCAAAGAAACAACTGAGTTATGCTGGAATTGTTTGTCAAGGCAGGTTCCCAGTTATAACATCAAGCAAATAACCAAAGGATTCTGATTATGGCCAAAGTGGGTCTCGGCTTCCATTCCATACGGACATTTTTAGGATCTCTGGAGGGCAACATTTGAAGTAGTTCAACAGTTTTTCAGTTGTGCTTCTGTCTCTGATAATCTGAGACCCGCATACATGGGGGAAGGGGGTGCAGCAATAATTTCTTCCTCAAAAATAATGCTAAATGTATTTGTGGGGCTCATGTTTAGGTTTCAAGGTAAAGGTTCCTCTTGCACATATGTGCTAGTTGTTCCTGACTCTAGAGGGTGGTGCTCATCTCCGTTTCAAAGCCGAANCTTGCCCCAGCCCTGCTGAAGACTGCAGAGAGCTGCTGAGGGATGAGGGAAGGCAAAAAAAGCCTCAGTTTTTGCGTAAAATGGGCCACTTTTCTCAAAAATGGGATGCAGGGGCGGGGCTTCGGGAGACCAAAAATGGCTGTATTCGGTGTATAAGATGCACCAACATTTCCACGCTCTTTTGGGGCGGGAAGGTGCGTCTTATACTCTGAAAATATGGTAATTCAGTTCATTTTCCATGGCAATTCAATATAAAATTGGAAAAAGTTGATATTACTAGTTGCGAGCTTTTTTGGAGGAAAAAAAAGGAGACACAATGTAAGGTGATGAAATTGCAGCTTCTATTTTACCTGGCCCATGATTGAAATGCTCTTCAGTTGTATCGTTGGCTCAGAGGTGATGTTCACTCGGAAGGAGCTTTCAGGCTGAAAAATAACATCATCGTACTGGCACGGAACCCGTTCTTCATCAACAAGGAAAATGTATTTGCCCAGATCTAAGTTTTCCAAAGAGGCTGCAGCATGCCATAACGTAGGATCATACCATTCATAATTGTCTGTACTTTTAAATGTGATTTCTGAAGCTAATAATGAAAATGACAGAAAGCAAGAGCCATAGATGAAGCGGGTTTTTAAAAATTGCTCATAAATCTGCGGAACGAACTCCAAGTTTATTTTTTTATAGCCTAAGAAAGTGTAGAACAGTGTTTCTCAACCTTGGCGACTTTGAGTCCTGTGGACTTCAACTCCCAGAATCCCCCAGCCAGCAGAGCAGAGCTGGCTGGGGAATTCTGGGAGTTGAAGTCCATAGGACTTAAAGTCGCTAAGGTCAAGAAACACTGGTGTAGAATATGTTGTCCAATCTACATAGCAATTTGGTTCATAAGATTTTTCTTCACAATGAAGAATAATTGAAAATAATCTAGGGATCAGTCTAGTGATATTGGCATTAGGTGTCCCACTATTAGATTTCAAATGCCAAAGTTTATTCTTAATCTGAACTTCTAATAATATGGTTCTGTCCTGTGAAATTTGATGCTTTTCAGATATGTCGATTATACAATTTTTAAAAGCATAGCCATTAGCCATGGCAGCTTGGAATTCTGGGAGTTGAGAGAGCAATAGATCTGGATGTCATCTAGATGAGAAAGCTTCTTATAAATTGTAACTATAACATATAGCACATTTTATCTAATGCATTCCAAAATATCACTGGCTTTTTTCATCCCATAGAAATCTGTTATTACATCTATTGTTATTTAGCCTAATAATAAAATTGAGGAAAAATTCAATTTATCTAATCTCTCTGAATTTACCCTATGTTTCATGAACAGGTATCCCATAAATGTGCAACTGGATTTATTAGAGTTTGTGTTTTATCTGTAATGAAAACCTTATTTTTCAGAATGAATGTATTTGTAATTGTTCAATTACTGCATAACAGGAATCATTGTTGAGGCTATCTGAGAAGTAGCAGCATTCTGGCAATCTCCCTCATGCATGGCCATTATTTCTTTTTCTTTTCTGCCACCAGTTGCAACTGCTAAATTAATAGAGAAACACACAAACTCCCTTTGACTTTCCTGGGCCAATTTATGATGTATAAGGCAAGAGGAATGAGGATTATGAGAAAAGTGTCATTACCAAAAAATGAACCTCTCTATGTTATGCACAACTAACATTTTTCTTATGACATATAGGTTCTATCATACAGATGGACAGAGGACGTAGTGTCCATAGGGGTTTGTGCATGCGTGTGTAAATCAACAAGATGTTGGGATGTCATCATTCTAAAGGGGAAGGGGTTGCTACATCTATCTAT